CAAGCAAGCAAGCAAGCAAGCAAGCAAGCAAGCAAGCAAGCAAGCAAGCAAGCAAGCAAGCAAGCAAGCAAGCAAGCAAGCAAGCAAGCAAGCAAGCAAGCAAGCAAGCAAGCAAGCAAGCAAGCAAGCAAGATGCTGCAATGATAGATAGATGCCCTGGCAAAACAACTTTGCCTGTGTCACACCACCCTCTCACGCTGCCCCTGCAGTCAGGGGCGCTCGTGCGGCATGCTCACTGGCCCACAGTACTGCCTACAGTGACCCAAGCCCCAGCATGCTCTGGCGCCTCTCTGACCACCCTACACGCTGCAGCACTTAATGTGGAGGTCCAGGTAGCAACAGCACACGCCCTACCTGTATCGTGCTGCGGAAGCGGTACACCTTGCCCATGTTGCGCAGCGCCTCGGGGTGGTCCTTGGCTGCGCGCAGCACCTTCAGCGGCCGCCGCAGCCACCACAGCCGCGCAGCGCTGGCGGCCGCACCCAGCAGCACTGCCGCAAATATGCCGTACAGGACAGCCTGCAGGGTGGAGGGTGGGTAAGGGGAGTAGAGGGCGTTGTGTCTCATGAGTCATGCGTTAGTGCAAGATTAGGCCCGGTTGACACTGCAGACTGCGTCGTCAGGCCCACTCATGCGATCTGACCCCTGGAAAAATGATTAAAGCAGCAATCATTAAGCAAGTACTTGCAACAACAGTCACATACTTCCCTCCTTTCCTCCCGACTCCCCGGATCCCCTCACCCATGTCATACATTCTCTCATGGCGGGGTTGTCAGGGTACTTGTATGTCACCACGTTCTAGGAGGGGGATGGGGGCCAAAGGTTGCCGACCGGGGAGACGGGAGAGGTAAGGGGGCGGGCGTGAATGGCCGTCAAGATACGTCTCCCCAAGGCGCCATGCTGCAGATCTAGTAGCAGGGCTACCAGATCTTGGAATATTGACGGCGACCACGACAACGACACTGCAATCTGCCAAGCTTTCTTGTGTGAAGGTGGGCAAAAAGCTGGCGGTGCCGGGGCCACCCCCTGCTAACCCTGCCTCGCCTCACACATCCACCATTCTCACCACGTCAACTACCCTGTTTCAAACACGCACACATTCATGTACCAACAACGTGTTGTCACCGGTGACGTGTCGCCCAGAACAGGCAAATCACACCTGAGCCCCTCATCACAACCCCACCCCTCTTGGCCCCACCAGCAGGATGCAGGTGTACACGATGCCAGTCCACAACCCATTCCAGACATTATTAACCCAGTCACTGTAGTACGATGCCTTTGCGGCAGGGGACCGGAGAGGGAAATGGGAAATCGGGTGTGGCGGAGTCTACTGTGGGGCTCAGGCGTGTGTGGGTCAGGAATCACGGCACAACTAGGTGGGCTCTATGATGAACTGGTTCAATCACTGCTGTGAGGCGTAGCTGCGTCAGCCACCCGCAAGCTAGACAGAATGGTAGGCGAGCGCGGATGCGGGCCTGGCTGATGAGCCCAGACTGAGTCATGGCTGCGGGACAGCACAGTGTGCAACAGGCAGGGGTAGCTTGGTTCACCCCTGCCCAGTTGTTTCACGAGCCATTGGTCAAGCAACCCTCCTTTTTGGCCCTCCGCAGATATCCGCCTGCACCACCTTGCTGGGATGCCTGCATGACCTGCTTGTCGCCTCATCCCTGACAGTTCCTGGGCTCCACGGCCCCCCCTCCTCGCGC